AATGAAAGTCAAAAACGAAGCTATATTAATGTTCATTTGGGTCATACTCTAATCTCTTGGTGTGTAAGGAAACAGTCTACAGTTGTTTGGTCTTTAATAGAAATTGACTACCGTGCTTTTGCTACAACTGCCACCAACTTCATCAAGGTTTGATGCGAATTCCCACCAATACGACAACACCACTATGTTGTGATAGTATTTCAGCTATTAGTCATTGCCAAAAAAACTAATCTTTCAAACTAAAATCAAACATATAAAAAAAGATATTGATTCAACAGTGAAAGCAACCTTTAGAAAGTTCATTGCAGTTCATCGCATCTCTTCTAATTCTCAGGTTCCCGAAATCTTCATCAAACTTCTGCCCAAAAGCATCTCATCTACACAGCGAAAACTATCCAACAAATCGTAGAACTGTCAGCAAAACAAACTATGCCACACACAACTAGTTCGGGACAAAATTGTAATTATTTTGCTATAATCGAATTGTGGAAGGTTAAGGTTTTCAAGTATATATTTCCTCTACTGTAATTGTTGCAACCAAGAAAGATGCAGTGAAAATATATTATTTCTATTTTGTGTTCACGCTTCTTATGATTCCTGCTTATTTCAGCTTCTCAGTTTTTCATATCATAGTATAGTAGAAATAAGCATTCCACTTTCGCCTTTCCGGTTAATTGAAAAACAAAACTGAATCGGATACCAGAGTAGCCCAAATCATATTAGAAAAAGCAAATATTATTATGGAAAATAAATAGACGATTACAATCAAACACATATGAAAGAAAAAACATAACATATACAACACGCAAACTCACGTTAGAGCGGATCTCGGGTGATGGTAGGGACGAGTACAGAGCACAGTGAGATAGCAGTAAGATAAGGAATTGGTTTCCAAGCTGTGGATGAGGAGCGGCGATTATGAGTGGTTGAAATAGCAGGGCGGCATCCCAAACAGCATCAGGTTGTTTGGGGCCGCATTGCGACAATGGCAGCAATCTAGAATGGGGGAAACACGAGGGAAACACCTGGCTAAACACTCGGCCAGGAGAATGGAACAACAGCAAAATAGCCTAAACGGTTGCTCCGGTCGGCAACAATGAGCGGTAATGATGGTGGCAGCGGTGGTAAAGGTGTGGGACAATGGGACTGTCAAAGGAGGACTATCCAAGAGCTGCTACAGCGAGTACGATGGTTGAACAACAAAGATCTGCAAGAAGACAACAACGACACTACTGTAGAGGCGATTGTAGCAAGGAAGGCATGGTAGCAAAGCAAGAGAGATGTGGGAAGGATAATCACCACCTGGAAATCATGATACAACTGAAACATCACTTGGAAACCTAGGATACAACCCTCGAAAGAAAGAAGAGACGTCGGTAGATGTACCGATACAAAAAACAAAAAACTAACTTCCTTTCAGATCCTAATACAATATATATATATATATATATATATAGCGTAAGAAAGTAAAACAAAATTTTTTCGGCTTGCCTCCAGTGATAAATATTTTTGCAGTACTTTTTTTGCGGTGAACACTTGCGTCAATCTCTCGAGGTAGTGGAAAGTTTCAACCTTATCCGTCGAAGCTTTTGTCTTCTCATTATATGGTGTCAGGTTGGCAACATTGAAGGTGGTGGAAACATTTTAATCTCCCGGTAAGTGAATCTTGTTGGCATTGATACTCCAAAGCACATCTTGATAGAATATGTACCCATCCTGTTTTGACATAATCATAACTAGAACTCTATATGGATGAGTATTCTCGCGAACGAAGCTTCAATCCATCAAATCTGTAATTGACTTCTTCCGCTCTTCGTATACGTCTGAGTGTATCTCATAAACAAGCATGTCAGAAGGAATCACCTCTGGGACAAAATCTATGTCAGGCTGAACCACACTAAAGTATAACCACTCAGAAGATGCATCTCTGAAAGGTCGGATTTCACTGTAGGTTGTTTCTTCTTGCAAAGCTTCTAAGCCAATTTCCAACACTGTGGTTCATTCATCCTAACTAATCAGCAGTCAATGGGTAAATTCTAAATTGAATTTAATACCCCAATGACTCCTTATGGGTTGGAAGAGACGCAAAAAGTCTAATCTCAAACAGATTAGACCTCTCAGCAGAGGCAAATAAAAAAATAGGCTATATATATGGAAAAAATCTGAATTTCTCTTATTTGGGATTGCAGTGTGTCTGATATTGGCTCCTCAAACTCATATATCACTTTTGGACATCTAATATCAATCTTGTTGATGCTCCTCTCAACGTCTGCAAAATGGCAACTCGAGACCCCACGATCTCATATTCTGCATGAAAGTCTATTATTTCGAACTCACTAATTTCTAAAATAGTTTCTGTTAACTCAGTTAGAGTCTTTCCACTAGGTTCAGCTCGAATCGATGATGTCATTTCCTCGTCGATCAAAAGTTGATAGTCATCACTAAGATTTTCACCTTCTCCTGGATAACCAACTATTTCTTCAACTAATCCCTATTCCGTGAAAGAAATCATTCTCTTGACTGTGCAATCTGATTCAAAAACACTTTCTGGCAGAGATGAATTTTGGCATGTTGGTTGGTGCCCTATGTTTTCCCCATCAAACTAATTTCCTTCTCAGACGGCCTCAACTTGGATGTTCCCCTTGTACTCTGGTGGTACAATCCTGGGGTTGAACCCGGTCTATAAGTTATAGTCATCCGATGATGTGGTCTCTCCACTTTTGAAACTAAGATTTGAACATGCGGTATGTAGTAAGCTAGTAAGAACTGACATTGCATCTCTCGTTTTATCTTGAACAAGTAATAATTTTATCCTTTTCCTTCTCGTTAGCATAAGTATTTTGAATTTTACCACCAAAATAATGTATTTTTTTTCAGCTTGTTAGCGGCTAGTTTTATCATTTTGTCAGATGAGATGTCCTGATAATAAAAAACGCAGCCCAAAGTCCAAAGTTACTTGATAACAATGTCAGGCTCCATCAGGCTGTCAAAATATGGTAAATCCACCTTTACTTCAAAATTCTAACTTTTCAGATATTTCAATTCACATATTCAACGTAGAAGTTCATCCCTGGAATTCACATAGTGGAAGAGGTTCACTCCATCCCTTCAATCTGGAAGTCACTGTTGTGACTACAGTGATCCAACCAGATCGCCTCCTTTCGAAAGGAGCAAACCTCTGTTATAGTTGGTGGGTTTTCCACCGCATATCCTCCTTAGAAATCCTGTAGACACATTTTGTTACTTGATTAGGCTGTAGACACAAGGAGATATGATTAGTGTTTCAAGATTGAAAGAGGTGGTTGAGGATAGAAAAAAAATTTTTGGTGACGGTGATGGTTTGGGTAAGGCGGATGTTAGGAAACCCTAAAAAAAAAACTGAAATTAGAGAAACAAATATTATTACTGGAAGTAAATAGTCGAATATAATCAAAGACACTTGAAAGGTAAAATGCAACGCACATGACACGCAAACTCACCTATATGACAGAGTGTGCATCTTTCATTACAATGCCAATTCCTACTTATCAAGCGTATAGTTTATTATATCAAGGGAACTTTTCATTATAGTCCCTTCAATCGAAAAGAAGACACGCATCTTAATGCCTGATCAAATTTTGATTTGGCTGGTGCTACAAAAAGTTTGAAAGAAAGCACAAAGATATAAAATGTTCATTTGGATCGTCCTCAAATCTCTTGTAAAGAAACAATCTACAGTTGTTTGATCCTTAATAGGAATTGACTATCGTGCTTTTGCTACCACTGTCACCAACTTCATCAAAGTTTCATTGCAAATTCCAACCAACACGGCAACACCACTATGTTCTGATAGTATTTCAGCTATTAGTCATTGCCAATAAACTAATCTCTCATAATAAAATCAAACGTATAAGAAAATATACTGATTCAAAAGTGAATGCATCCTTTAGAAAGTTATTTCAGTTCATCGCCTCTCTTCTCATTCTCAGGTTCCTGAAATCTTCACCAAAGCTCCGCCCAAAAGCATCTCAGCCACACAATGAAAAGCATCCAACAAATTACAAAACTACCAGAAAAACAAACTATGCCACATACAACTGATTCAGGACAAAATTGTAATTATTTTGCTATAATCAAGTTGTGGAAGTTTTAAGGTTTTCAAGTATATATTTCCTCTACTATAGTTGTTGCAACCAAGAAAGTTGGAATGAAAAATATTATTTCTATTTTGTGTTCACACTTCTTATGATTCATGATGCATATTTCAGCTTCTCTGTATTTCATAGCATAATAATAGAAATAAACATTCCACTTTTGGTTTTTCGGTTTATTCGGTTAAATGAAATACAAAACAGAATCACTAACCGAGATTTTAAGAACCGAAAACCAAAATGAATTTTTGAAACTGAACTGAATTAACCAAACTTGTTCGGTTCGGTTGAATCATTCGGTTTTGACGAAATAATGCACACTCCTATGCTCTAGGACCAAAATGACCGCATAAATAATCTGAGGACTATTTTCGTAATTTCTTTTTATATGTGTGTGTAATTAGAACCAAGTGAAGAGGACATTGATTGGAACTTAAAATTATTGGATTTTGCAATCTTAATCCAGTGTAATCACAAACCGCACAATAAGCATGTAATTAAATCAATCAAACAAAATATATAATGCAAGAAAAATTATCATGAAAAAAACAATTACACATGGTTCTTATGACCATGATACGAAAATTCCAAACAATTGAAAAAAATACATTAATCATTACAAAAAAAAAACAAAACAAATCAAAAACGTAAATTTTGTTTCGAATTTTGTGCTGAAAGATGAAGATCATATCATTCAAATTTAATTTCAAAGTATCGCAACCATGCCAAATGAGTATGACGATAAACCATAGCTAAATCCAAAGAACAATTAAAAATTTTATCTTGTCATATGTGACAATCAAAACAAACTCAATCAACAAGTTGTGCAAAAGGATATCCTTAAGAAAAAATTCGACAGAATGGGTCTCAAATTTATTAAACTTGGTTTAAGTCTGAGTGCCACATACTAATCTCAAAACAGATCAAATTTATTTAAAACCAGTCTTTGCTCAATTATTTTCCCAATCACAAGCCATGTTAACTGGACAAATCAAAAAGAACATGCAATACCAAAATGGCATAAGTTTCTTTACAGTTGTTTGCGCGGGACAACTTCTCATAATAATTCTCATTAAGTTCCATTTGGGGATAGCTATTACTGCAGAAGTGAAAGACAACAAAAAGGAACAGTTTATCAATTTATGTATTAAAGAAACAACAAGAAAATTTTATATTTTAAATAGGCATGATCCATGAAAAAAAATAAATAGTAAAATATAGTGCAGGAAGAAAAATAACAAAAACTGTGATATTACAGTTGTTTATAACAAAGAACATACATAAAAACACTTATGCACAGCTCAAAAAAGAGATTGCTAACAGTTATTAAAGCAGTAATGTGCAATAATATTAAAAGATTGAGCAAAATTAAAAAATTAAATATATAAATTCTTATGCATTAAAATGAAATGGGTATGGTGGCAATACACTAAAAGCAATACAAATTCATAATTCATGATATGCAATTAATTTCACGAAGTTTTTCATGCTTGGATCATATATGGTATTCTTTTTCTTCTGATAAGTTATACATTAAAATTATTTTTGTGATTTATATATATAAAGAAAATCAGAAAAAAAGTGTCAAGCGAAACTCACTAATGTTTAGTATTCTAAGTACATACAAAACCTATACTTATAGTTAACAAAGGCATATACAAGAAAGAATAAGTGCAAAGTTTCTTAATATTCTTCCTAATTCAAATAACAAAATGCCGCAGATGGCCGCAACATCGGTTGTGCCTAGAAAAAATCAAGGGGCATTTACATACATATCACCCAATTCCTATTTATTTACATTACAAACACCTAAACTTTACTTTTAAAATTTATATCATCCAAATCTTTTTTATCACAAAAAATAACACATTTTAAAGTTTTAAAAAGTGAAAAACACCTTTTTCATGAATACATAAGGTGGCATATATATGTTAAAATTGAGGTTTGTGTTAGACATATAAATAATAAAAATTAAATGATATGTAGTTTTGGGGGAAAAGAAAAAAATTATTTCTTCACACTTTTTGAAGACTCGGTTACAAGAAAAATAACAATGAAAAACCACCCACATTAGAAAAGCTACAAATTCCCGATGCTAGAAAAAAATAGAAATTACTAAAAATATAAAATAATAAAGTTAAAAGATATTGAAAGCAGAAATTCCTAAAATTTTGACACCCCTTCTCAAGTTGGAGCATAGAGAACTGGTGAAGATATATGCTAATTACTCTCAAGTTATCCAACTTTATACAACATCTCTTTTAAAGAATCAATCAATATGTCAAAGTTTACCTAAAGTAAAGACTACGGTCGATAATATTATTATTTTGCTTGGTTGATCTAGCAAACATACTATAAATTCTAAATGGACTACCAACAAAATATCAAGCCTTTGAAACTATCATTAGCACCAAGTTCAACATTATCAATTTCAACATGCATTATCGATTGCCCACAATGACATAAATTAATTGCCATCATATTATTAATCCCCGAATATATAAAGAAATCAATCCCTAGCAATCTCTACTAAAAAATATAGATATTATAACTTTTATCAATGACTTCTCTAAATTGAAGGTGTTCTACTAGTGGAAGAGAAAATAAAAAAAATGTTTCTAATTTCTTCTAGTACTTGGGAATTAAGCACTAATTCAAATATTTATATACTCTCAAATAGAATGGGGTAGATGAACAAGAACATAAACATGTCATTGAAATTGTTCGTACTTGGCTTCTTAAAATTAACCCTTTATCACACACTTCTTGAGAATATTTATCTCATAAATCTATTACCATCCACGACAACCAATCTAATTCATCGATATCAGCTTCTCTACGATAAACCAACAAAATATTCTTATCTAGGAGTTTTCCTTTGGAATACAAATCTCTTCTAGTAATGGGTGTGCATTATTTGGTCAAAATCAAATTGGAAAAGTTTTGATTGATTTGGTTTGGTTTCAAAAATACATTTCTATTTTTTATTTTAAAACCACAATATTTGGTTTCCTATTTTAAGCTGGCTTAGTTTTCATTTAACTGAACAAACTGAAATTTTGAAATTAAATAGAGAATTCATGTAATTAAATTGATACTATACACGTAAAATACGTAATTTTGTATCTTTGTGCATAATCAAACTCCAACTAACATCTAAATTTCTTTGTATTTATAATCAAACCATTTAAACTAAAATAAATTTTAGTTTTGGTGAGCTTGATTTTATAAAAAAATCAAATTAAATTTGATTGGTTTCATTTTTCCGATTTTAGTTACAATTAGTCTGACCAATTTGAAAATTGATCCATCCAAATTGATCAAATCCTCACACCTATATGCCAGTACATGCGTCTTCCATTTCAATGCCATTTCCGACTAATTAAGCACATTCTTCATTATATCAAAGGAACTCTTCATAACAGTTTCTCCCATCAAGAAGAAGACCAACATCGTAATGCCTTATAAGTTTTTGATTTAGCTGGTGATGCAAAAGATTGAAAGTCAAACACAAAGCTATATAACGTTCATTTGGTTCATACTCTAATCTCGTGTGTAAATAAATAGTCTACAGTGAGTACAAGTTCCCATTAAAATGGCAACACCACTATGATGCGGTTGTATTTCAGTTGTAGTCATTGCTAAAAAACTAGTCTTTCATGCTAAAATCAAACGTATAAAAAAAAGATTTGATTCAACAGTGAAAGTTATTGCAGTTCATTGCATCTATGATCATTCTAGGGTTCCCGAAATATTCACAAATGCTCTGCCCAAAAGCATCTCAATCACACTATGTAAACCAACCAAAAAATCACAATACTATCAGCAAAACAAACTATGCCACATACAACTAGTTCGGGACAAAATTGTAATTATTTTGTTATAATCAAGCTGTGGAAAAGTTAAGGTTTTCAAGCACATATTTCCTCTAATATATTTGTTACGACCAAGAAAGATGCAATGAGAAAATATTACTTCTATTTTTTGTTCGCACTTCTTATGATTCCTGATGCTTATTTCAGCTTCTCTGTATTTCATATCCTTTCAATAGAAATAAGCATTCCACTTCCGATTTTTCGATTAAAAGAAACAGAAAACCAAGCCAAAAAACCGAACACTACATATTGAGATTTTAAAAATAACAAACTGAAATGTATTTATGAAACCGGACAAATCAACCAAACTTGTCCGGTTTGGCTTGATTTTTTTGTTTTGACCAAAAATTGCACACCCCTATATTATGGGACTAAAATGACCCGTGCAAATAACCAGAGCACTATTTTGGCACTCTTCTATATAAATATGTGTGTGTGTGTGCGCATGTGTAATCTGAGCCAAGGGAAAATGTACCTAAAAGAGTAAATAAAATTAATATAAGAGAGTTATTAAAAGAGTAGATTAAAGAGAAAAATATATATATAAGTTTTTCAAAATGTTTTGCAAGAAATAAATCTTACAACACAAGTAATAGAAAATGGGCATTTCTAAAGCTAGACCAATGGCTGACATAAGGCTAACGCGTATCTAATGATCATTAATATCATGTTCATAGCCTAGATGAGTTAAAAGTTCAAGTAATTGAACAAATAAAGCTTGTGTTAAGCTCTTAGATGTCATGACCAGACCCGGGATTTGAAATTAATCAAGATGGAAACATACAGTCGAACAATGGACATATCAAATTGCTTATAAGTATATATATATATATATATATATATATATATATATATATATTGGATTGTTTATAAAATTATATTGGATTGCTTATAAAATATAAGAAACCAGCATGCATATTAATTTTTTTCCCCTAGATTATTATAGTTTAGAAGTGGAATTAGTCCTAGGTTTTCTTTAGATAACTCATTATGTTGTTTTAACATTCTTCAGATTTTAAAGTTTTGATTAAGATGAATAGAAGAGGAGAAGATAATATGTACAAAAGTCAAAAACAACAAATGAGAAGGTATAAATAATTCTTTTTTTTTTTATTTTACTTTCTTTTTTTAGTGGCTCTTTTATGAATATTTGAATGTTAAACTATTATAGATAGAAATAGAATATAATAAACCTGATTTCCACTGTCTGATTTTTTGTTCTCGTCTTGGTTAACTCCAAACCCCGGGTCAAGTCATGACACTAGGCTTAGGGTGACAATAAAAAGATTTAGAAGGAAAATTGCATTTGCATAAGGAATGGCTCATAGTTTTTATATTAATAAAAATAACACAATAAAAAAATATTCTATTCGAATTTTTTAAGAGATTAGGAAGATCTTGCATTGTTTTTTAGAGAGCACAAATTAACCAATGACCATAGATTTAAGTAATTTTATTAGTAGGAGATTTCCATTGATGTACTAAAGGGTAAAGCCTATCAATAATTCTAGCACTGCCCTCCCGTATCCTGGTCATAAGATTTACAATATGAGTTAAGGAAAACAACAGAGCAATTAGAATCATTAGATAACCCACTAACACTAAGTTGCAAAATAAATTAGTAATATTAAGGATAGGGTGGAGTAATTTTGTGAAAAATGATCATTTGATCTTTTCTCATAATGGATGAAAAATTTTCATCCACAATCTTAACTCTTCCACTTCCAAAAGATGAACGATCGACAAACAATGAATATATACACATGAATCCATGTGCCTATTCATTTCACAGTATGCTGTACACCAATCAAAGCTTGTTGGCCTTCCCATTTCTAACAAGCAAACACCGATAATTCCTTCCTAAAATTGCTTTCAGAGTTGTCCCCTGCTACAACATTTGTGTATCTCCAAAGCAGAACTATTTGTCACGTTTCTATTTTTAGAGCAAGCATTCTCCAACATGCTCCTCAAATTGTTTTGTAAAGTTCTATCATTCATAATTTACCCAATATATTTTTTAATGAAGAATTGTAAAAGCTTCTAGTGAATATATCAATGATTAAATTACCCGTTGGAGTTTAAGGTACCAATCAACCCACTCTCTATTTTTTCCTTTTAAGAAAAGTTCATTCACTTCCACATTTTTTTGTTCGATTAAGTTGTATTAAATTAGAATCAAAGCCAGTTACAAACTTATTATCATAGCATATCCTTATAAGTCCTT